ATGATGAAATTTAAAAAAAAAAAAAGTTGGGACAAAACGATAGATGATAGATCATAAGGGTGCAATGATGGAAGAAAAATACAGAAATACGGCTTATCTTCAAACAAAAGTTAGCTTCCATGAATCAGCAATTCTACACAGCCCTCAAGTGCTCCGACTGGCATGTAGAAGTACTGAAAATTTCAGGATAAAGAGAAGGAAAAAATGTATCTTTAGTCATGCAACTGCTGAGAATAGTAAAAGTCTTTTTACCCTTTCTCAGAGTAAGTAGCTTATCTTTTGAAGCTTTGCCATATGATGATATGAAGGCATTATATATCACGTATTCCTTCTAACACAGAACACTACAATCATAAATACAGAGTCGCTGTAAAAATAAGACAAGTAGTGAATGTTAAAAACAGGTGATTATAACTCATGGTTCTAATCTAACATCAATAAGCTCGTGATCCTAAATCAAATAATTCCTTCAACAAGTGAGCCAAAATATTCGTCGCAAACTACAATAATTCCAAGTAAGTTTTGTGGAATTGACAGAGAAAATGTTTCATGTACTAGTCAATCCTTTTCATCTCCTACAACATGAACAATTCCCCCGAATGGGCAAGCACAAAAGAAATACATATAGCAAGTAAAGCATCAATCGGTTATTTGAAGGCTTAGGATAAATGAACTTAATGAGCTGAAATTTAGCATAGCAATTATTTCTGAATGACTTTAACAAAATTTCATCCTTGAAAGCATTAAACATTCTGCAACAGCTACAAGCTGTATTGACCATAATAATTGTTTTAGAAATCTTATGCTACCATTAGAACAACAATATGATAAACATAGAATCGGCTGTAAGTAAAAGAAAGCTAAACATGAAACATGAGAAAACTGCGAATTGAACATAAAATGAAACCAATCATCTAGTAATTACTATTTATTAACCGGGGTTTAAATATGTGTTTCCATTGCAACATGATCCTGGATTTATGCACCAGAAAAGGGTATAAAAACAAAGAACTAAAAAGGCATCAAACATCTTGATGTAGCTTTCTTCAACTAACATTTAGGTAGAGAAAAATATTTTCATTTCTTAAACTTATAACCAAGACATTCTACAAAACTACCACTCACGGCAATGTAAACAAGTCCAAATCAAGAATCCCAACAAATGGCAACTACTTATTCTAGCCGAACAAATCACCCACCCAAAAGAGAGATAAGACGACGAATAAATGCGAGAAAAGAAATTCATAAGAAAACAGGAAAGAAACTCAAATGTGCAGCTTTTAGTGAAATATTCGTGCCAATGGATTATCTCCCATTTAGACAATTTCACACTGTAACTCTATTTTCCCAAAGCAAGCTTAATCTTGGTTCACAATCCAACCATGCAGCAATCCAATTGATTTTCCAATACATATAACAAAAATAATACCAATGGAAGTTTACAAATTCACTTTATCTGTGACCAAGATGATACTAAACTTTGATTAATCTTCGAATCTGATGACGTAACACCAATCGCTTCAATCCATTTTCAAAATTGTAAGCCTCAATCCAGTGAATATCTACAATAAACAAAGTATTCTCCGCCACAAAAGAGAATTAAACACGAAAATTGCAGATATGTGATTTGTATGGAATGTGCTGTTCTGTTTCATTTAATAGTCACCCTTGACCTTTAAAATTTGTCTTCTCCTGATCAACAAGAATGCCACCACCCAAACTTGCAAGATGGCAACAACTCCCACAAATATCAACCCAATGTTCAGGGGCGGAGCCAGGAATGNCCAAACTTGCAAGATGGCAACAACTCCCACAAATATCAACCCGATGTGCAGGGGCGGAGCCAGGAATGAAGCGTACGGGGGGCTAAATTCTCAAACTAACATTTCCTAAACAAATGACTAAATCCTAAAACAACTTAGCAAATAGCAAGTCTGAAGTTTGCCTAATTCGTTAATCAAATCAAATGGATATACCAACTGCAAATTACATAGCATATTCTAATATTAGCATTTTAGCAACTTAGCAGTAGCAACTTTTCCATTTTAGCAACTGGCAGCCAGTAGCCCTTCAATTTCAAATTATGCAATGGAGTATAAATTGTCTAATGTGGCTTGCACACACATCTAACTGCATTACTNTCGACACTGAAAGTTTGAAACAAAAAAACATTTACAACTTACAACTTACAAGACAATACAAAAAGTCAAGATTCAAGAACAAAATTGAAACTGAAACAAGATATTAAACAACTGCCCACAAGATATTAAACCCGAAATCAGGAAGAAATTAAACACAATTACACAAAACACAATAAATTGAAGAGCGAAGAACAGTGAGCAGGCTGCAGGGCCGATTAAACTTACTGGATTAAATTGAACAGTTGGCGTTCAGCAGACTGTGGCTGTGGACGGCGTTGGGCAGTAAAGGGTTTCGGCAGACGACAGTAAAGGCCTAAAGGGTTTTCGGTTTCGGGCTTTCGGCGGGCGGCGGTAATGACGGGCGAACTGGCGAAGACGAATTGGAAGAAATTCAAGAAAATGGAGGAAGGAAGAAAGAAACTGGTTTAATTTCGTGTAGGTTTCAAATGAGGGTTTGGGTGGGGATTGGGTTTAATTTTACGTGGGTTGCAAGTTTTCAATTTTTCAATTGGGCTGGGACGGTGGGCTACTTGGTTGGGCTGGAAAAAATTAGGCTTTAACCATTTTTTTTTTTTATAGGAGCTGGGCTTGGGCAAGGGTGGGCTACAGCCCACCCCAGCCCACCCCTGGCTCCGCCCATGCCAATGTTCTTCCACTCGTTAAGCTTCTTCGTCTTCGCGGGTGTCAAATTTTTAAGTGACTCCTGGTGATTGTGATCCCTTGCTTCGAGGTTGCATTCTTTGGAGGAGGTGGCCGGAAGCCTTTCTTTGAAGGGGCTGAGGTGGCGTGGAGAAGGTTGGGGAAGCCACAGGGAATCAGAAGGAGGTGGTCGAGAAGGCACTAGGCAGGAACATAGATGGTGGAGGCAGAGTATTAGAAAGGATACTGGGCTAACTTATCCTAACAAAACTGGCTTGTTTGGGGAGGATTGTCTTCGCCTTATTAAGTGGATCGTGTAAATATCACCAGTCAATGTGGAACTTTAATACGTCCCCTCACGTATGTTGGGGATTGAACCAATACAATACACAAGCAGCGGAAATAATAATATATCAATCCCTCAATGTGCAGAATTAAAATGACGGGAATAATGACTAGCTCTAACAACTCACACACACCGGCAAGAATATAAGTTGAACACCAAGATTTGTTAACGAGGAA